TGCAAACCTGCTCCTGGGTGGCCAGGCTGGCAGCTATCCTGCCTTCGATGGCCACTTTCCTGTGCCTAGTGCGGAGGTCGTGGATGAGGTCCACGCCTGCCTCTTGCAGCCCTGGGCAGGCTCCTAGGAGCTGCCAGCCTGGTCCCGGGAAGAGGCGGAGTGCTGGGTGGCAGCGGGTGGCTGGCTTGTGCTGTGCCAGGTGCAAGGTCTGCTGGCTGGGTGCTGGGAGGCTTTCACCTGGCACGGTCACTGTAGTCAGACCGTGGACCTTTAAGGACTCCGGGGCCTGGAGGGGGGCAGAAGAGTTTCCCTGGCTTGGCCCAGAGTGGCCACCAGGGCAAGCTGGGAAGCGCTAGCCTCCAACTAGCTACACAGCCCTTAATTTGAACTACTTAATTCGAACTAGGCGTTAGTCCTCGTAGAATGAGGTTTACCTAGTTCGAATTAAGCACTCCACTAGTTGGAATTAAGTTCGAACTAGTGGTTTGTATGTGTAGCGCCTATAAAAGTTAATTCGAACTAATGGCTGTTAGTTCGAATTAACTTTGTAGTGTAGACATACCCTATGGAGTTTTATTCTCCTGGTAGAACTCTAGCAAATGTATCCCCTAACAATAACAGTTCTCTCTAGGGGAACAGAGAGCCTTTTAGTTTAAAGTTTTATTCCTTCTGTTTAAAATGTAGTTGAGTAAACTATCGCAGTGGAGTTTCATATACAGAATGTTTTTTTTTTTAATTGCTTTCAGATTAGAAAATATTGCAATCTCTAGAAACTCGGTTATAGTAAATAGGGATAATAGCGAATAGCTGACAACCCGATAAGCATAAGCTTATCAGGTAGTCGAGTGGAGGATTGAGTACTTGCTTTCCCCAACATACACCTTTGCTGCTTCTTACAGAGGCAGCAAAGCGGGGGAACAGGAGCCGGTGCTGTGGAGAAGCTGGCTCCGGCACCAGCCCGTGTTCACGGTGGAGAGGGCTGGCTGCTGTGAACAGGGGCTGCCGGACTCAGCGTGAGCTGGGACCTAGCACTCTCGGCTCATGCTGGTCTAGGATGCTGAGTCCCTGCATTTTAAATGTACAAAGAGCCCAGCGGCTCTTGCTACATTTAACACGCAGAGCTGCAGTGCAGCTGGCTCCCACAGTCAGCATGAGCTGGGACTGCTTGGTCCTAGTTTGAGCCAGCTTCTGGAGCTACCCCTGTTGCTGCTCTGCAAAGCAGCCCTTATCAACTAATTGTGTAGTCAATACAAATTGTATCTCATGCGGTTATCTGGCTAATCATGTAATTTAACATCCTTAATAGTAAAGGTTCTGAATATAAATGTGCAAACAGTTCAGTGCAAACTTGTTTCAGCGTCTGTAGGGCTATGAAGTCTTAATGATCTGTTTAATGTTGTCATTATAGGACCACCTTTAACACAGTCAAGTTTGATGAATAATCGTGACCAGCCTCGGACAAGTGCCGTGCCCAATCTTGCACCAGTGGGAGCAAGACTACCTCCTCCTTTACCCCAGAACCTACTGTATACAGTATCAGAACGTAAGCAAATGTCTCTCTTAATTTGTCTGGGATAAAGTAGTAGTAGAACTTCTGTTAGTGTTGTATCGTATTAATGATTACTTTTACTTCCTTGTATTACATATAAATCCAAACACATCCAGTCTTGTAGCTTTCCCTTTAATTTGTGCTGAGTAGCATGGGGAAGCTGTTGTGTTCCCTGAGCTAGTAATGTAAAATTAATTCAAATTATGCATGTTAAGGTCGACTAGTCAGTCGACTAGTCAATTCTCCTCCTCCCTCCTTGCTGCCTCTTCAGATCAGCTGTTCAGCATTGCTCCTTTGAAACACTGCCACAGCATGGCGCAAAGCTGCAGAATCCCCAGCTGAGCCCTGGGCTCCACGTGGCATTTCAAATCGGCAGCTCCAAGCTGCGCTTCTTCTTTGAAATGCACAAGAGCCCCCATTGGGGACTCTTGTACATTTCAAAACTGGTATGGCTCATGTGCAGCCCGAAGTCAGCAGCTGGCTCCAGGCTGCAAGTCAAGTTCCACGTTCCTCATTTAAAGGACAAGAGCCCCTGCGGGAATTTCCTTTGATTATCCGATAGTTAATATCCCTAATTCAAATGGAATTTCATCCAGGCATCTTCTCCTTAAAGCTGTGTGGATGGATCTCATGGCATAGGATTTTAGGGAATGTGGGATCCTGTGATCCACATTAGGATCCTGGGGTGAACTATCAGATTAAACATCAGTATTTACACTTAAACTTGTAACTTGTCACACTTAAACTGCTATCTTTCTTTTTTCCTATCATTTTCTCAGGCTTCTTTTTATTTTTGGCTAGTTATAAGGCTTCTGTTCTTGATTATGATGGCATTTTTAATAGAAAATTAAAAGATGTTATGCAGCTACCAAAATAGAGTGCGCCTCCAAGTATGTTGGTATTGGAAAGCAGGATAGAAGGGAAAGACTTCACTTATATTGCCGCTTCATCATAATTTATCCAAAAGATTAGAGGCTTTTAGTGAATGTGTGTCTCTTTACTATGCAAAATGAAGAGTTCTATATGAAATATCATTGAAAGCAGTAAATATATCTGTCTGATCATTGAATAACCTTAAATGATTAACTTAAATCCAACAATACTTTCACCAATTCGTTATTGTTGTCTGTAATGAAGAGTCAGCTAGCATTGCCATCTTAGTTTGCTTTCCTTCTGGCTTTTTTTAATCTCTCTCTCTGTCTCTCTGTCTCTCTGTCTCTCTCTCTCTCTCTGAGACAGACAGACAGACATGGTTCAAAGACTAGTTCAGCATGCGAGTGATTCTCCACATTTTGAAGGGTATATA